GGAGACACAGAATCTGAAGCAGGCCCCAGGCTCTGAGCTAGCTGTCAGCACAGAGCCTGACATGGGGCTCAAACCCACGAACCACGAGCTCATGACCTGAGCTGAAGTCGGAAGCTTAACCGACTGAGCCACCCAGGCACCCCCAAACAAATGCATTCTAAAGAAAACCAACTCTAAGGGCGCCTGAGTGGCTCAGTCAGTTAAGCATCCAATTTTACTTCAAGTCATGATCTTGCAGTCTGTAAGTTCAAGCCCTGCATCAGGCTCTGTGCTATCAGCTCAGAGCCTGGAGCCTGCTTTGGATTCTGTGTCTCCCTCTCTCTCTGCCCCTCCCTCACTCTGTCTTTCTCTGTCTCAAAAATGAATAATGTTAAAAAAATTTTTTTCTAAAAGAAAAAAAAAGAAAACCAACTCTAAATATACACAGAAAAACTAAAAGGATGGAAAAAGATGTAATATTAAAACACCGATCAAAGAAAGTTGGGATGGTTAGCTTAGTATCAAAGTAGATTTCAGAACAGAGAATATTACCAGAGATAAAGATGTTCATTTCTGGGGCACCTGGGTGGCTTAGTCGGTTAAGCGTCCGACTTCCGCTTAGGTCATGATCTCACGGTTCGTGGGTTCGAGCCCCGCGTCGGGCTCTGTGCTGACTGCCAGCTCAAAGCCTGGAGCCTGTTTCAGAGTCTGTGACTCCTTCTCTCTCTGACCCTTCCCTGCTCACGCTGTCTCTCTCTCTCTCTCCTAGAAATAAATAAAATATTAAAAAAAAAAAAGATGTTCATTTCATAATCACAAAGGAGTTACCTCATTACAAGATATAAGAACCTTAAGTGTATATGTACCTAAAGCAGAGTTTTAAAAGATATAAAACCAGGGTGCCTGGGTGGCTCAGTCAGTTAAGAGTCCCACTCTTGACTTCGGTTCAGGCCATGATTTCACAGTGTGGAATCAAGCCCCGTGTTGGGCTCTGTGCTGACAACATGGAGACTGCTTGGGATTCTGTGGAATTGAATTAGATATCAGTAACAGAAAGATAGTTGGAAAACCACCAAATATTTAGATATTAAGGACAACGATGGGGCGGTTCAAGTCCCACACTGGGCTCTGTGCTGACAGCTCAGAGCCTAGAGTCTGCTTTGGATTCTGTGTCTCCCTCTCTCTCTGCACCCCTCGCCCGCTTGTGCTCTCTCTCAAGAATAAGTAAACATTACAAAATTTAAAAACAATAGATATTAAGCACAATGCTTCTAAATATTCCAGGGGTCAGACAAGAAATCTCAGGAGAAACTGGAAACTACTTTGAAATGAATGAAAACGAAAACACAGTAGTATATCAAATTTGTGGCATGCAGCGCAAGAAGTGCTTCCAGGGAAATACGTATCATTAAATGCTTATATTGAAAAGAAAAAAGTCTCAAACCAATGTTCTAAATGTCCACCTCAAAATCATGAGAAAAAGATCATCAAACTAACCTAAGGCAAAGAGAAAGAGAGAAATAATAAAGATTACTATAGAAGTCAAACAGAAACAAAAAAGAAAACAGACTGATGAAGAACAGAGGCGATAACGCAGGATCGCTGCTTCAAGAAGGGTGAGTAGCTTGGCTAAGTTCCTCAGTTAGGAGCATTAGACCAGGTCACCCTGGGAAAAGAGTTCTGTCCCTTCCAGAGTGGGAGGAACCCAGGGGAGCAGAAGTCGGGCTGAGGCCGGTCTCTCCCCAGCAGTCACTCAGATCCTCTCAACGGGGAGGACTCTCCCATGGCAGACAGGTACGGTGGGGAGAAGAGGAGAAAGCCTTAGGTAAAAGCAGGACTCCAATGTACCAAACACACTTGGGCACAAATATAAAATGGCATTTCCTCAGCCACACGGTGAAGCCCACAGCCCAGATTCATTCTGTTGGTGGCTCATTTTGCTTCAGTCTGTCCACTGTCCTTGGCCTTTGCCTACCTGCACCCACCAGTCACTGCAGGAATGGGATCCGTGGGCTCACATCAAATCAAGGGGGCCTGAGGGAGAAACCAACAAAACCCCACCACAAGGTAACTTATGCAGCCCTCAGCCATAAGGTGCCCATGGTACAGGAAACAGCCAGATCTGCAGCTTCTGTAACACAGACCAAGGCACGAAGGCAGTTAGATTATTTTATTTATTGGTGTTTAATGGCCCACACTGTGCTCTTTCCTCTCACCACTAGGCTCTGCTCACCTGTGTGTCGGCAACGACTGACCCGCGCGACAGGCCTTGAACAACAGCCTCCAACCACATGCAAGACTGGTCACATTTTTGCTCAGACTCCAGGATTTTCTGCAGAAGCTGGAATGAGGTGGACTGTTTCTTTTAGTTCCTGCTTCTCTGGTAGCATCTCATAAACCTCAGGTTCTTGGCCTCTGCCAAGGTTGCCAAGAAGATGATGCTTTAATCTGGGAAGAGTGTATGGAAATTCATTATGTGTCAGAAGTTAGAAACCATGCATTCCCCTTTGGTAAATACTAGACACAAATCTCAGGATATATACATGTAATCACAATGCAGTAAACCCTCTCTTACAATCAGATGTTTTTCAAGGTTTTGAGGTATACTTGTCACCAGAACCGGCTGTTGCTTCAACGCAATGAGTATCTTCTGCCAAACAGTTTTAGCAATTCAGTTCCTTGTTGGCTTAATCCCATTGGACAGAAATCCTTTAATTCTTTTTCGATCGATTCAGTGACAAGACGCCGTGTCAAGAGAATATTTAGAGGGAGGAGGGCAGTCAGCGGCAACCTAACCACTACAACCAATGCCCCAGTGCGCTCAGACCCTGGCCACAGGCGCTCGTCCACAGAGCACAAAGCAGTGTTCCCTGTAACTTACTGCACGTTTGTTATCCCTATACGTTCTATTTCTCATGTGCACCAAGTCCCTGGTACCTCACCTATGAAGTTGCCTATTGGTAGGGTCTATGATGTTTGCAGAGCAATACAACAAATATAAATGCATTTTGCAATCTGTAAAGTGCCATCAGTGTAAGGGATCATTATACCTGATACTTTCTAGATGCTACTCCTTCTTCTAGAGCAGGGCTCTTGGAGGATGAAGAGGGTGGCAGGTGAGGGAGCCAACCTTCAACACATGCCCAACAAACTGGGGATACCAGGCCACACCTGCCACACCCTTTCTCCTGCCATTCTGAGCTCCTGGCATAGAACAATGGGGCGCACAGAGCTGAGAGGTCTGCCCTAGTGGCTCATTACTGGGGGAGAAGCTCTTTGCTGTCTGCCAGAAAGAGGGCAGCCCGAGTCAGTCTGCTCCACGTTTAAAATTTGTCTCAGGGGCACCTGGGTGGCTCAGTTGGGTTGAGTGGCCAACTCTTGATTTCGGCTCAGGTCATGATCCATGGGATCAAGCCCCTTGTCAGACTCCACACTGAGCATGGAAACTGCTTAAGATTGCCCCCACCACCACCACCCCGTCTCTCTCCTTCTGCCCCTCTCCTTCTCTCTTTAAAATAAAATGAAAATAAATAAAATCTGTCTCGAATCCAGTGACTTCCCACCACCCCCACCCCCACCACCCTGTGCCAGCCTTTCCATTCCTTACCTGTACCAGGACAGTGGCCTCCTACATGGTCTGTTTCCACTTCTGCCCACTATGGGGAGTTTTTCACATGGAGTACAAATCAACCATTTAAACGACTAAGTCAGTTTAAGGTATGTCACTGTGAAAGAAAAAAAAAACTCTCCAAATAAATCCCACCTCAGAAAAAAGAAATCCAAAATTTTTGTCATGGTTGTCAGAAGCGTGTTTTCCCAGGAAGCAAATTGGGACCTGGGGGTCGGCGTGAGGAAAGTTTACAAGGGGTGCCCTTGGGACCATGACCTGGGGAGGAGGGGTAGAGAGGGAAGCAGAACCAGACAGGGGGAGAAGTTGGCTATGAGCAACAGAGCCTCGATGGAGGCCTCAGCGGATCCCTTCAAAGCCTTCCAGGGCTGGGGTGGGGGGCCAGGCACCGGACCAGCTGGGAAAGGGAGCACTCTTCAGCTGATGGACACAGCCCTCCGCTGGCGACTCCCCAGCTTGGGAGTCCAAGTCCTTGGGTTCTGAAGGGGTATCCAGGTGACACAAGGTCGGGTTCGAGGGAGTCTTCATGTGACTCTTCAACGTTGCCCCTCCCAGGTTCTGGTGAGCCATTCTCATTATCTCAGTCTATTTCCCTTCACCCTCACCTAGCGACTCTGTGCACCTGAGACTTACCTGATGGCAGGACCACCAGTGGTCTCATGCTCTCCTCAGGCTGCTGAACTGGTCTACCAGCTATCCAAATTCCACAAGGGACTAGCTCCTGAGTTTATCACCTATATGAGATCTGTCTTGAGTTTGCATCCCTTCACCAAGGGGAGGAGCCTGGGGCACCTGGGTGGCTCAGTCGGTTGTGTACCCAATTTCGGCTCAGGTCATGGTCTCATGGTTTGTGGGTTCAAGCCCCGCTTCGGGCTCTGTGCTGACGCTCAGAGCCTGGAGCCTGCTTCAGATTCTCTGTCTCCCTCTCTCCCCCTCCCCTGTTCATGCTCTGTCTCTCTCTCTCAAAAATAAACAAACACTTAAAAAAAAATCAAACAAAGGAAAGAGGCTTAGTGGTGGCAACCAGCCTGGAGAAGGACTCATTAGGGAATATTCTAAGGCCAACTGGTAAAGCTCTCCATCTATTATTTAAGAAGCATTCATTTCCTCAGATAAGTCCGAGAACAGCCAGGTAAAAAAGAAAACATCATTTCAACATAACGAGGTTGATCTTACATTATATTAGCATTGGAGAAAGAGAATTTGGAACAAGCTTCCAAGAAAGGTGAGAGCCTGGCTCATTCAAATGTCAAATTTCTCACACTTGGAGGAAAAAGGCATGTAAATGTCAGAGATTTGTTTTGGGGAGCCCCAAAACAAGAGGAGAGAGGCCTCAGAAATCCCATTCTGGTTTGAGACAGGAAACAGCAATGATAAAGAATGTCACACTGCCTTGGAGTCTATAAATTTATTGAGTAAAAACGAAATCAACATCACACATATTAAATTCGGTCTGGTTCAAATTTGGCTGATGTCCACTGGTGGCAGAGATGAACCGAGGTGCAGAGAAGACCCGGGGATGCTGGCAAGGAGGCCACTGAACGAAACCATCTTCTGTTAATCGTAAAAGCAGGCGTCACACAGCCAGTGAGTCAGTGAGCAGAGGCAGGGAGAAAACCAAAGACCTCAGACGAGAGGAGAGGAGAGGAGAGGAGAGAGCGCCGGGGCGGTGAGAGCATAAGCGGTGACAGGCGCAGGTCTGCCGGTTCACTTGGGGAACACAGTGACCACGTCGTAGCCCTCGGGCGGTGTGACCCGCTCCCGGGCATGCTTTTCACAGTAGATCTGATCCTCCACAAAGAAGTGGCCCTTCTGTTTCAGGTTGGTGCCACAGTCAGTGCACACATAACACTCGGGGTGGCGGTGACGGTCCCGCAGCTTCACAAACACGCCACTGCAGGGGGAGGCAGAGCAGGGCTCCGTTAGCAACAGGCACCTGAAGGAGGCACCGCAGCTGGGGCGTCCCCTGAGGCCCATCAGAAGGCAGGTCGGGGCTTCCGAAGGGGCCTCCACTCATAAAGCAGCTGCTCTGTCCTGGGGTCTCAGACATTCCTCGGAAAGCCCTCCCACTCCGGCAGAGCAGCCCCTTCCTGGTTTTACACGGTCACACTCTAAGGCGTCCCTGGCCAAGGAAAACCTGTACACCTGGCCCCATTACACCCCAAATGCACAATGTCCGGCACCTGCCACGTTGTCATACTTTACCCAACCTGCAGGGCCCGCAGCACCTGGGGAGGGCGTGTACTCACACAATGCCGGTGCCGCATTTGTCACACATGGGCAACTTCTGGGCGTTTCCAATAGATGCAGCCACTTTGGTGACCGGAGCCTTAACACTTCTGAAACCTGAGGGCTTGTTGGGATCCCCTACAATGAGGAAGACACTTGGGTTGGCCAGGAAAGGTCTGACTGCAGAAGTCTCATTTAGTTCTTTCAGAGTCACTTATACATATGTTCCAGCAAGGTCCCTGGGCACTGCAATCAAACAGACCTGACTCTGCTATGTGACCCTGGGCAAGTCACTTAACCTCTCCAGCCCCCAGTTTCCTTTTCTATATAACACAGGAGATTGCCTTCCCCTTCATGGTGGTACAAAAAAAATTTAAAAATACACACAAAGCCTTCCCACAGTACCTGGCACAAAGCCCTGAAAACACAAATGATATTTCATTTTGATTAAATGCATGCAAATACTGATATAGGAACTTAAAGTTGACTTACACAGTTGGAATAAGTAAATAAAAACATCTGATAATCAAAAGACAATGTATTTAGATGCCAAAAGAAACCCATATCAGAAGGGGGAGCCTGGGTGGCTAAGTCAGTTAAGCATCTGACTCTTGGTTTCAGTTCAAGTCATGCTCTCACAGTTCGTGGGTCTGAGCCCTGCGTTGGGCTCTGCGATGTCAGCGCACAGCCTGGTTGGGATTTTCTCTCCCTTTTTCTCTGTCCCTTCCCTACACATGCTTTCTCTCTCTGCCAAAACAAATAAAGAAACTTAAAAAAAGAGGGGCGCCTGGGTGGCTTAGTCGGTTAAGCGTCCGACTTTCACTTAGGTCATGATCTTGCAGTTCGTGGGTTCGAGCCCCGCGTCGGGCTCTGTGCTGACTGCCAGCTCAGAGCCTGGAGCCTGTTTCAGTCTGTGACTCCCTCTCTCTCTGACCCTCCCCNAAATAAAACATTAAAAAAAAAAAAAAAAAAAGAAACTTAATAAAAGAAAAAAGAAAAAAAGAAACCCACCTCACAAGAAGGACAAAGTCATTACAGTGGAGCATCTACAAGCAGCCAGATAAAACCCACCTGCCACAGAGCAGAGGAAGCAGCCTTCCTGCAGTCAGCCCCAAGGGGATAAATTAAGCTCTTGGTTGCTGGGTGCCCAACTGCAGCCCAGTTCATCACGCCTTCAGAGCCCTCCATCATGGCAGCTATTTACAATGGCAAGCTGTAAATATTACTATTACTGCCATCTATTCAGCTGACTAGCAGTACTGTTGTTCGTCAGCTATTTACACGCTTCTGTGACTGGACTGCAAATTAGTGGACCATGACCCTGTTTTATACACTTTGCAATATTCCACAGAGCCTAGCCTTGGGCTTGGCAAACAGTAGAAATTCAATAAATATGTACACATGAGCAGTGAAATGCCATGACAAATGCTCGCTGGTCCCTTAGTCTGACATGTTTTGGCCCAAGAAGCCAAAGAAATCTCTACCCCAGTGGTTCTGAACGGGCATGTGTGAAGGCACCAGGAGAGACTTCCTAAAATTCACAGACCAGGCTCATAGCTGGAGCTGCTGACCAACCATCTCCAGCTGCAGGGGCCCCAGGAGATCCGACTCTGTCTCTTGTTAAAACCCACTTCTTCAGACTGAAGCAGCTCTTCTCAAGCTTTACTGTGTACCAGAGTGATCTGGAGAGCTCACTAAATGCAGCTCGCTGGGCCCCATGGCCAGCGTTTCTAAGTCAGTAGGCCTGAGGGAGGGCTCAAGTATTTGCATTTCTAACAAGTCCACAGGTGCTGCTGCTGCTGCCAGTCCAGGAACCACACTTTGAAAATCACTGGACAAGAGCAAAAAAATGGTTGTGTGTGTCAGGTGAGGGGGTAAGGGGCATCCTACAGCTGCAGCCGGCGGGGCAATCCTGGGCTGACAAATGAGGGCCCTGGTTCTCTTGTCAACTTAGAAAATGAGTCCCCACATGTTGACTGCTACCTCTGAACGGAAAACTGAGATAAATTCAAATAAGGGGCATTTATAATAGGCTGGGACGGGAGGCTGCATATTTTGTCCACAATTATCTGTACCCTCCCTACCTTTACCATACATCCCAGTAGGTCAGTAGTTCTCTACTGGGGGTGATTCTGTCCCCTAGAGATCAGCTTTGTTCGTCACGACTGGAGGGCAGTACTTCTGCCATCCAATGGGTCCAAGCCAGAGATGCCGCTAAATGTCCTAAAATGCACAGAACAGCCCCACCACAAGGACTTATCTGGCCCCAAATGTCAAGAGCACAAAACTTAGAAACCCCACTCTCAGTGGAGTATACTCCCTACCCCGCAGGCCTTGGGTTCGGCCAAGGGAATGTGAGCAGATTTGAGCCCTGTTCTAGGAGAAGCGTGAGGTGCGCTTGTGTGGTTTGGTCCTGTCCCCTTGAGGCTTCTGCCCTCTGCCCTAAAAACAGCAAGCCCCAGAGTGTGGCGCGTCCCTCTGCTGGGCTCTGGAACGGAGCCAGGCCGGGTCCGACCAGCAGCCCTGCTGTCAGAGAAACAAGAAGTGCGTTCGCTGCTGCAGCCCACTGCTGGCTAACGCAGCATGACAGCTAGCCTGGGACATTCTGTTGCCCTACAGAGAAGAGCTAGAGGGAATATTTGAAAGCAGCCTGTTTTAAAGGCCCTATCATGGGTGTTGATGGCATGATCTCTCGGGGTTCCCCCATCAGTGCTGGAAACCGATCAACACAGATGTCCATCTGGCAACACATGAGAAGGGGCAGATGTTAGGAGGCTCCAGGGTTTCCACTGTTTTCGGCCATAAGCTCTACAAAAAGGCTTGGGGAAGGCTTGGTGCCGCCCCATTAGCTGCCTTTGGTGCTTTGGTTATCCCACATTCGACATCCCCTTGTGGCTTCCCAAACTTTCCTCCCTTCCTTGGCCACAGTACTAACTTTGTTCATTATACCTTTTTCCCTGAGTTATTTATGATTTTTTAAAATATTGCATTAAAGTATAGTTTTTGTCTTGATTGTTGAGGGTTTTTTTGGTGCGCCCTTAAATTCTGTACCCAAGGCAAAACCTCCCTCCTGTCCCCCCTAATCCTGGTTCCCTCTGGAGAATCTCAGAAGGGCCTGGGTAGCCAGCCTCACGCCTCTAAGCATCCCAAACAGGCTCATCTGTGGGCCCCTGTTGCTAGAGCCACCCGGCTGCCTGTCCTGTGAAGGAAGGAAATGCGGTGTCTCTGTGTACCCCAACGGCTTGGAAGGGAAACTGACTGTGCCCAGGGAACCAGCTCAGTGAGGTCATGGTCTCATGTGATGGGGCTGTTTTTCACATAATGCATTCCATCTGGCTGGCTCAGTCAGTAGCACACAGGACTCCTGATGTCAAGGTCATGAGTTCGAGCTCCAGGTTAGGTGCAGAGATAACTTAAAATAAAAAAAAGGAGGGAGAGGGAGGGAGGGAGGGAGGAAACAGCACAGGGGGAAAGGAGGCAGCTGTGTGCTGCACAAAGCCAGCCTTCAGGTTTGTTCAGCCCTGCAGCGCCACCTGCTGGCTCCATTTCCGTCTCTCACTCACCTAGCCAGCACTGCAAACTCAAAGAAACTCTGTCCTTCTCAACTAGCTTACAGTAAAAATATTAGCTCCCTTTGGACTCTGGTAAGCTATAAAAATTTCCAAAGTTCTCTTCTTCCAGTGAAACTTTCAGGTCAAAGCTTTCTGGAAAAAGGGTGAAAATGGGTTGAGTAAAGCACAGCTTTTTTTTTTCTATCCACTGCTCAACCACCTTTCATGGTTCCACATTTCCAAAGAACCAAATTCATGGCCCAAACCTGGCACTTGGACACTTCCTGAGCAAATCTCCAGCTTTCTCATCTTGGAGCCTCTAGTGCCCCCTGTATTATCTCAGTCCTTGATGGCTCCCTCCCAGTCTCCTCTCATTAAAAGTCCTCTTAAGTGGACAGACGGATGTTAAACAAGATATGCTACTTACACATTGTAGAATACTCTGCCTTAAACAGGAAGGAAATGTTGATACCTGCTACAACACACGTGAAATAATTACACTAAGTGAAAATAAGCCAGTCACAAAAGACAAATACTGCAGGATTCCACTCATAGGAAGTGCCTGAAGTTAGTCAAACTCATGCAAATAGGAAGTACAATGGTGGTTTCCACAGGCTGGGGGAGGGGCGACGAGGAGGTAGTGTTGAATGGGTTCTGAGCTTCAGTTTTGCAAGACAGAGTTCTGTGGGCGGGTGGTGTTGATGGTAGCCCAACAGCATGCACACAGCCAACGCCGCCACCACGTACACTGAAATATAGTTCAGATAGTACATCTAGTGGTAGCTGTAGTTCACAATTAAAAAAAAAAAGAGTAAAGCCTCCTTTCTCCCTGCAAATTTGGAATTTGATCCAGAGCAAGAGGAAGTTTGAGAAACCCAGGACCCTTTCTCCTAGTCCAGAGGCTGAATTTCACCCAAATGAGAAGACCCACAGTGAATCCTGTGGAGGCTTCTCACCAAACCCCACCGCAGCCAAGCCTCCCCCGTGGGCCTCACTGGTGCTGGGCCTGGCACTCTACGGGCACCACTGCCCTTAATGCTTTAGACCGTCTATGAAGTGGCCATTTTTAGCCTCCCTGGACAAGTGCAGAAACCAGGGCTTGAAGAGACTGGCCACCTGCTTGTGGTCTCAAGGCGGGTCACAGGCAGATCCTGGATGCCAGTGCTGGCAGGGCAGTTGCTTTCTGAACCCCAGGCCTTCTGGAATGACAGTAGCCTTCACTTCCCTGAGCGTTGACCATTTCATCTCAGACAAAAGCTGGCATTTGAGCTCCCTCCCCTGAGAGCCTTCTGAATCTGGCAGATGTATGAATTACAACTTACGGTGTTTCATTCAGTGAAAATTTAACGCGAGTACATATTAAGAGATAGGGGAGAAACTACATTCTTCTTTTGAGGTAAGAGGATAACATCTCAGGGAGGAAAGAACTAGAATTCTCAGATTCTCCTGCAACTTGATATGGCCGTGTGACTAAATTCTGGTCAAATTAAATGGAATACTAGTGTGGGATTTCTGGGAAAGAAAAAGCTGGCCTGTCTGAAAGGAGGAGTCCCCACTTAGCCCTTCCTCTTCCCTGGCGCCTGGATGTGGGCATGATGGCTGGAGCACTAGCTGCCAACTAGGGCCATGAGGTAACCTTGAGAATGGAAGCCACCTCACGGAAGGAGTTCCAGATCATGATGAGCACGGAGCCACCACATCAGGGCAGCTGAGTAAGCCTGGGCTTTAGGTCCTTCTCTGGGACATGAAAGCGTTTGACTAGATGAGTTCTGCAGTGTCTGTGCCCTAGTTTGGGCTGGAATGGACTGACTTTTCCTCTCTTCACTGAAGGGGTTTGCACCTACTTACTCAGAGAGCAGAGTAAGTTGTGGTTTCTCGCGTTTTGACAACACTGTCATTCTCTAGGGTTGGTTCCCCAAGTCACTTGTCAGTTGGCCCTAATACTTGAACTTAATACAGAATATGACTCATTCCTTCCAAAATGCACAGGTACAACAAGCAAAGGGGGAAACTGCTGGTAGAGCAATATCCTTTTAGCATAATAGGAGAACGGTCCCCTAACTTCCTGTGCTTGTAAATTACCAGTTTCTGGAAAGAACCCACCCAAGTCGGGAGGAAGCCTGGGTTTGGGTTTGTTCGGTAGGGAACTTTCAGCTCAGGCAGGACTCCCAGGAAGCCACACCTGTGGCTGGGGGCCGGGAGGTGGGTGTGTGTGCGTGTGCGTGTGCGTGTGCGTGTAGGTTACTGTTACAGAGCATGCAAGTCAAGTTCCCTCAGGCCAGGTGGTGAGGCCAGTTTCACTGCAGGCATCACCAACTCTCTCTTCACAGGTGGACACATGGGGGGTGGGGGAGAAGGAAGAGAGAGCAACAGAAAGCAGGGCTCTGGTGACATCTGAGCCACAGGGAAAGCAAGGGAGACAGAGCGCGGGGGGCTGGGGGGCTGGGCAGCGCAGAGACCAGGAAAGGGGCAAAACCCAAGCCTCTAAAAAAGTCATTCAAGGCTAGGCTGACAAGAGAATCAGAAGGTGCTTGTGAGTGACCACCAGGGAGGTAGGCAGGGCAGGGGCTGTGGCTCCTGGGTCACCTCTGTGAGAAAAAGGAAAAAGCACCCGTTCGCCAGGGACACAATCTGCCAAAATTGTCTCATAATAGACTGCAGTTGTTACATTAAGATAGCTTTAGTGCCACCCACTTGAAAATGGTCTGAATAGAAGGCCTACGACATCTGTTTGCAGAGCCACACAGGAGGCCCTGGGTGCTCAGGCCTCAGAGCTCACTCCCTGGACAAGCTAAGGCTGGCCTGGCACCTCCTGATGAGGTTTGCAAACAAAATCGTGGGCACGAAGCACCCAATGTATGCCAGTCATGTGGCGGGTGTTTGTGCGGCTTATGACACTAGATCCTCACACCAACCTTAGAGAAGAGGGTTTCTGTTTCTGACTGACAGATGAGAAAACAGGCCGGGAAAGGTTCAGAGACTTGTCTAAGGTCACGCGGGGAGGGTATGGCCAAACTGGGGGCCCTCTGGCTCTGGGGAGTCCACCTACCCTAGAGCAGGAACAAGTGCACTGCCCCAGGGTAAAAGCCTAGCACCCAGCTCCACCGTGTTGCTGATTCCTTTACATTCTGCTGGTCACGGCCCACGACCTTCACCCAGTCACGTGCGTCAGCATGGGATGTGCGCTCAAGCCAAACAAATGGCCAAGGGACAGATGAACAGATTCCCACACAGTCAAGCTCACCCTGACGTCAGTGACAGAGAACTCATGGCCATGTGTGGTTGGGATCTCATGCTCGCTCTCGCTCTCTGTCTCTTTCTCAAAGCTTTTAGCGTTTTATTTTTTTTTATTAATTTTTATGTTTATTTATTTTTTGAAAGAGGGAGAGAGCACAAGTGGGGTAAGAGAAGAGAGAGAGGGAGAGAGAATCCCAAGCAGGCTCCACACTGTCAGCACAGAGCCCAACGTGGGGCTCGAACCCATGAACCATGAGATCATGACCTGAGCTGAAACCAAGAGTCAGACACTCAACCGGCTGAGCCACCCAGGTGCCCCTTAGCATTTTAAAAGCCATGCTTTCCAAAGCACACTGTGCCCCTTTCAGCCACTAAGGACTGCAGTCCCTTTGTTTCAGCCACGACGGACCCTCACCTAGGCCTTTCCCACGAGCCTCTGACCACACACATGCACGCAGGGCTGATTACCTTTCTCTTCAGACTCCAGGATTTCCTGCAAAACCAGGAATGAAGTGGATTGCTTGGGGGGCTCATTTAACTCTTGTTTCTCTTGAAGCATCTTGTAAACTTCAGATTCTTTGTTGATGATGAGTCCGCTCGGAGGCTGAGGGTTGTCTAAGCTATAAAGAATGTTTGGAAATTCATTAGGACATCTCAGAAGTTAGAAAATAAATCATGAGGCACCCCTTTCCAAGTGAAGACACCCCTGAATCCCAGGGTGGATAGAAAGGATCCAGTGGACAGAGCCCTCTCTTTACACAGCTACAGACCCTGCTGGTGTTACAAGGTGTCTCGTCAGAGCTGGCTACCGCTTCACGGCAGTAAGAGGCTATTTTTCCAAAGAGTTTCAGTGATTCAATTAGTTTTTGGCCTGATCCCATGGAACGGGAATGCTCTGCTTCTTTCTTAGTTACGTAAACAACATTATGTCTGAAGAAAATTTAGCAGAGAAAAAATGTCAACCACAGCCTGACCACTAAAAGCTCAGCTGGGTCCCCTCAGTACAGGCCTCCGTACTGTACATAAATTCTTCCCAGTAAAGTCCTGTTCTAGTGTAAGGGAGGGGCTGAGGCCTGAGCTCGGTTCCCCGGGACGGGATGGGATGGGACGGGACAGGACAGGATGGGACAGGGCGGGACGGGACGGGACGGGACGGGACAGGACAGCTCCCCAGGACAGGGCGGGACAGGACAGGACGGGACGGGACAGGCTGAGCTGGGGCTACTTTCCCCCCAAGGCCTTTCCAGGCGAGGAGCCTCTGCTGCCTGGTGTCTGAAGGGGTAAAAGGGAGACTCTACTCAGCTTTACCTGCAAAGTCTGTCCTGAACCCCCCCTCAACACCCCCACCTCCGCCGTGCATCCAAGCCACCACCACCGGCCAGCACCATGAACCACCCTCATCACTTGCCCCCACACTGCCATTCTCAGCCCAGGACAGTCTTATTTCCAAAAGGAGGCCACTGTGACATATTAAACACAAGAACTGCACTGTGTCGTGATGTGGCTCCAAGCTTCTCATCTGACTTAGAACCAAATATTTACAGTTTTAATAACAAAATACAAGTTTAATCAAATTCATCTTCTGTGGCATAAACACTCATTACGTAAAGTAGAAAGGCCCCGGAGGCTGTGGCTCTGCTCCCCGCCGGCCACCCCTCGCTCGCTCGGCTCTAGTCACACCAGCCTGCACGCGGTTTCCAGAACACAGCAGCCTCAGACCCTCTGCACTTACTGCTCCCGGTGCCTGGAGTGCTCTCCCTCCAGATCACCCCATGTTTTCTCTCCTGTCTGCTCAGATGTCCCTCCTCAGAGAGGGCTCCCTGTCCCCAACTGAAAACGACCCACCCGCCCCCACCTTTACCCTCTCCAGCCTTCAGCGTTCCCCCCATGTTGCTTCTCACCCTCATCCCCCGGATTCTACGTGCATCTGTCTGCGTCCTTATTGTCCCTTTTCCTCTAGAGAGTGAGCCCATGAGCACAGGGCCTTGCTCGGTCTTGTTCGCCAGTCCATTCCTGACCCCGATCAGTGCGTGGCACAGGGCCAGGCTCAGCTGGTGTGAGAGAAGTGAAGGGCAATTGCCAAAGGGACCAATCTGCTCCACCCTCTCTCTGCTCCTACAGGGTCACAGGGGACCCTACAGGGTGGCAGGACCTCCCAGGGATGTGCCAGGGAAATGGCAGCCCAGGCTCCTGGGCCCAGATCGCCCTTGTTTCTTGGCCTCAGTTGCTTTTTCAGAAGCTGCCATCCTTTAGGGAAAAGGGACCGTGCACCCAACGGGTCCGAAGAGCAAACATCAGAAGGAAGGACAATGTACCGATGTAGATGGCTAGGTCTGTACGCAAACAGGCTGTAATCTGTGGGTGACAGAGCTCTTTGCTACCCAGCCCGTCAGGCCACCTCCAGCAGCGCCTCTCAGCAGTCTTTCTCAGCAAATCTAACCACTTTGTCTTTAGGGCTGAAGCCACTTTTCTAAGTGCAAGTGAGTTACGCCAATGACGTTTACTCACTCATTGCCCACCCACTGTGTAATTCGTTCACATTCCCTTTTAAAAAGAAAACAGGTATCTGGGTAATTATAGGGGTAATCCTCCCCAGGTTACCTCTCCCTCTCCTCTGTCTCTCCCTCTCCCCGTCAGCCTCCTGGGGCAGGGCAGGGGGAGGGGGGACTTGGGGTACTCAGGACCCTGGCTGGAAGCAGAGTCAGTCACATCAGTGACGCTCAAGGATTGAGAAAGGTCAAAACGGAAGTAGAAAGACGCATCAGCCGGTCACCTGCTCTAGCTGCCGTGCAGGGAAGGGAAGCCAGCAACAGGCCCTGTCCGCTGCTGCTGGCCCCCCGCCTCTGTCTCTCCCTCCCACCCACAGGAGGCTGTGGGAGCCTCCCATCCCCACGCAGGTGATGGGCCACCTTAAGGAGTGGTCTTTTTTTTTTAATCGTTTCATGAAGTCTTATTTTGTTAGTTTTAATTTAAATCCAAGTTAGTTAATGTATGGCGAGGAGTGGTCTTAACCAAGGGCCACTGTCTTCCTCTGGCCATCTCTGCTTTGCACGTCTGACTCTCTGTGGGTCTTGAGTTCTGAGCTTGCCCTATGTAAATATATTACATTATTTCTGATGAATCTTTTTTCCTATTACACTTAGAACTATTTTAAAATCGAGATCAGACCATGGAATGTTCTTGGGAGAATTCTTCCCCTTCTTTGGGATATGTCGTTATGTCTGGAAGCCACCAAGGGAACGTTAAAAATGACAAAGCTCAAACCACAAGGTCATCACTTACTCTTCCAAGAAACAGTCTTGTAAAGTATTTCCGCGATTAAAAAAAAGGAAAACAATTTACTACATATTCTCAAGTAATGATTAGATTGTTCTACCACTTGGCAATTTATAAAAAAACGATCCATTACCTCATTTCAAGCACTGGTACATCTAATTTAAAAATAATATCATCCACAAAATGAACAAAGAAGAAAAGAGACAAGCCAAAATATATTAACTACATAGAAAAAACTAATGGGTCCCAGTTGGGGGGAGGGGAGGATTGGGTGAAACAGGTGAAGGGAATTAAGAGGACTTATCATGATCATCCAGTCATGTACAGATTTCTTGAATCACAGTATTGTATACCTGAAATTAATATAACACCATATGTTAACAACACAAGAATTTTAAAAAATCAGTATCTTCTTAAAAACAAAACAAAACCAAAAATAATATCCTCAATTTGTTAAAAAATTGATTGTAGGACGAAAACATGCATAAGAAATGGAGCCCAAAAAAGCATGTTCTCATTTTTCATATGTAGTAACAATGGAAGGAAGAATTCTATAGCAATCAGTTTGCAAAAATGTAACTGATGGGACTGAGTCACCAGAGAACAAGTAGTTGTGTGGGTTGGTGGTGGGGGTGGGGACTGAAAATTAACCACATTCTTTGAACCCAGTTTTACCATTTTAATAACAAAATACAAGATTTAATCAAACTCGACTCCTTTAAAAAGCAAACAACTCAATGCTGTTGCATTAACTCTATGTTACATTCTTTGTTTCCTAGTCCTGGTTTTTCCCGAGTCACACTTGCTACGGAATGTTTGACATTTTGTTATCACATCATCTAAATGTTTCATAGTTTCTCTCACTCTTTTAGGCTCAGTCCTGAGGACCCCTCTCCCTGTGAGAGCCAGGTGTTCAAGGATGCCAGTGGTCCTTGGGACAAGAAGAAACTCCCCTTAAGTCTGCCTAACAGAGGAAGATTCTGGAAGCCAAGTCTGCTGACCCTGTGTGACCCCCTAGCCCTGCTCCAGCCAAAAGAGTAGCGGGGGTGAAGGTCAGAAGGTCAAAGAGGACAGAGAACAGAAGAACCCTGTCTCTGGGGACATGGATCAGCAAAGCAACCCTGGGATGAAAGTCCATTCCACGGAAATAATGAGGTGACCAGAGTGGGGACATAAGAGGCTCTTTAACGTTTTTAGAACTTGAGCCAGCCCTGGTGCAGCAACTTGATAATCTGTATATAAATCCCAACTAAAATAAGGAGGCCATAAGAAAAAAGTTCCCATGCTGATAAAACCTTAATGGCACATTTTCTCACATAGTAAGTCAACTTTGGTTCTTCCCTAAAACTGCCTATGTATGAGGCAAAGTTTGGCACAAAAAGGGGAATTACCTGAATTATAAGAAGCATCCAGCATAGAACCCGATGTGGGGCTCAAACCCACAAACTGTGAGATCATTACCTAAGCTGACGTCGGATGCTCAACCAACTGAGCCACCCAGGTGCCCCTATATTAGTCATTTCTTAAATTTTTTTAATGTTTATTTATTTTTGAGAGAGAGAGAGAGAGAGAGAGAGAGAAGGGAGGGAGGGGCAGAGAGAGAGGGAGACAGAATTCCAAGCAGGCTCCAGGCTCTGAGCTGTCAGCACAGAGCCCGATGTGGGGCTAGAAGCCACAAAGCATGAAATCATGACCTGGGACAAAATCTGATGCTTAACTAACTGAGCCACCCAAGTGCCCCATTCATTTCTTAATGATCCATCTCCAAAGGCTAGCCTGAGTGGCCTTCTAAAGGCCACTGAGATCACATCACAATCGTTAGCTACTCCATCATCTCTCTCTTTTTTTTAAGTAAGCTCTATGCCCAGGGTGGGGCTTGAACTCACAACCGTGAGATCAAGAGTCACATGTTCTATAGACTGAGCCATCCAGGCACCCCCCAGGCCAGTGGGAAATCTAGACTTCACACTCACCAGGCTGCAATGAGCACTTCAAGTACTCACTGGGGTGGTATCAAAGAAGTCCCAATAGGGAGCCCGTATTTCATCCCTATGCATCTGGAATGAGAAAAGCCTAGTAGAAATTGAGGACTTTAACCACCAACCAGTAGTAACAAGGCCACCACCACTCACCTCCAGTGGTGACAACAGAGGGCATGTCAGGAGCCAGATGTCTCACACCTGTCCAGCAGCAAGGCCTAGGCCTGAGTAACCTCAGGTGCCATGAGAGGCAGGGTGGGGAAACTGGACTTCTACCCCTACGTTGGTTAAGACCACTCCTCAGGAGTGGCAGGATCTGAAACTGGCTATCTAAAAAAGGACTAGAGGGTATACTGATGGCAAAT